GTGACATCCCCTCACATACCTGTATGTCGCCAACATATCCCCTGAGTTGCCTCTTCTCCAAGCTGAAGAGACCCAGTTCCCTCAGTCTCGCCTCATATGGCATCCCCTGCAAACCAGCCACCAACCTTGTGGCCCTACGCTGCACTGACTCTAACCTGGCTATATCCTTTCTGTAATGAGGGGCCCAAAACTGAGCACAATACTCCAGCTGTGGGTGCACCAGAGTGATATAGAGTGGTAGTAATACCTCTCTTGATGTAGAGGCCACACTTCTATGCAACCAAGGGTGGAGTTTGCCCTCTTGACCACCGCATCACACTGCTGACTCATGTTTAGTCTGCAGTCAACCAGCACCCCGAGGTCCCTTTCACAAGTGCTGCTCTCCAGCCACTTGTCCCCCTAACCTGTACTTGTAACACCTATTCCTATGCCCCAAGTGCAAGACCTTGCACTGATCCACATTGAACACCATCCTGTTGTCTCCTGCCCATTTCCATAGTCTGTCCAGATCCTTTTGGATGTGGAGTACCTGCTCCTCAGTTGTGGCCACTGCTCCAGTTTTAGTGTCATCTGCAAATTTGATCAATAGACTGTTCACCCATTCTTCCATGTCATTAATAAAAAGATTAAACAGGATCAGCCCCAGGACAGAGCCCTGGGGGACCACGCTTGTCACTGGCTGCCATCCCGATGATTCCCCACTAATGATTACCTTCTGCTTTCGGTCAATCAACCATGCCCTAATCCACCGGACAGTGCTTTGGTGTATCCCAAAACTCCTCAGTTTCTCCACCAGGATATCATGGGGCACTTGGTCAAAGGCCGTGCAGAAAGCCAGGTAAACCACATCCACTGCATCCCCTCCATCTAGCCATCTTGAAACCTTCTCATCGAATTCCACAAGGTTTGTCTGGCAGGACCTGTTCTTGTGGAAGCCGTGTTCTGTGGCTGTCAGCCTCCCTTCCCTATCTAGCATCACTAGATCTCTCTCTATTATGAGCCTTTTCATTGTTTTTCCTACAATGGACGTAAGGTTAACAGGTCTGTAATTCCCCATGTCCCTTCTACTACGCTTTTTTAAAATTGGGACCAATGACGCCACCCTCCAGTCATCTGGAGCTTCACCTGTTCTCCACGAGGCCTCAAAAATTGAGACCAGCGGGCGTGAGAGAAACCCTGCCAACTCTCGAGGTACTCTCGGATGTAACCCATCAGGGCCTGGCACCTTTGTAACGTTCAATGTCCTGAGGAGTCCCTCAACTTCTAGGGGGGTGACTCTAATCTGTGCCCCTAAGTCCCCAGCCTCATCTAATCTCCTATGCAGATATCCCCCGTCCTGCTTTGAGGAGAACACAGAAGCTAAATAGTCATTTAGCATCTCTGCCTGTTCCCTTTTATCGGTCACTGGATCTCCTTCCTCCTTATTTAGTGGTCCCACTACTTGTCTCCCCTTCCTCTTCCTATTTACAAGCTGAAAGAAGCCCTTTTTGTTGCTCTTGATTTTCTTGGCAAGTCTCAGCTCCTAATCAGCCTTAGCCTTGCGAAGAATCCTTCTGCAACGGGCCTCCTCCTCCCGGTATACCCTTTTGCCTATTTGCCCCAGTACCCATTTTCTACGGAGGTTGCTCTTTCGTCTAATCCCTCTAACCACCTCCTTTCGCATCCATGGCAGCGCTCTCCTCTGCCTCCCCACCTTACTAACTAGAGGTATCGTCACGCTTGCGCCTCCAAAACCTCTCTTTTGAGTGCCATCCATCCCTCCTCAACTCGCTTGCCTTCCAGTAACCTATCCGAGGAGACTTTCCCCAGTCTGGCCTTCAGTTGGCCAAAGTTGGCCCTCTTGAAGTCTCAGCTTCTAGAGCTCGACCTGCTGCATGTCCCCAGTCCCCTGATCTCAAAGCAAAGGATGGAGTGATCACTCACATCCAGAGCTCCCCTAATCTGTACTTCATCTATCAGCTCCTCCCTGTTGGTCAAGACCAAGTCAAGGATGTTTCCCCCCCTCATCGCCTCTCGGACCCTCTGTGTGAAAAACCCTCCCTCTATAGCTTCTTAGAAGCGACGTGACCTGGCTGTCACCGCCGAGTGAGTCTCCCAACTAATATCCAGGAGACTGAAATCTCCCATAATTATTGTGTCTCTCCCCCAGGATATCCTTAGAATCTGGCCTGTCAGGACATCATCCAGAAGCTCAAGTTGACCTGGAGGGCGATAACATACCCCCACTGTCAGGTCTCTTTCCCTCTCAAAAACCCTAAGTTTCACCCAGACTGCCTCTACTGAATCCCCATCTGGGCTGCATTCTGTCTCACTGCATCCTATCCCTTCCCTGACATATAAAGCCACGCCCCCAGCCCTCTTTCCCTTCCTGTCTTTCTAAAAAGGTGATACCCTTCTATGTTCACTTTCCAGACTTGCCTTTCATCCCACCAAGTTTCTGTGATTCCCACTAGATCATACCCTCCTATTCCCAGGAGAGCTTCAAGCTCTTCCTGCTTATTATCCATGCTCCTAGCATCGGTGTACATGTACCTCAACTCCTTCCCACCACTTCCTTTCCTTGGAATTCCCAGCCTCCTCCTTCCTCCTGATACCTGGTCCCTCTCTGTAGGAGTCCTGTTAGTCCCTGCAGTACCTCTAAAACCCTGCAAGGTCAGAGCCCTGATCCTCTCCCCACACTTGTCCAGTGCAGACACGTTCCTGGGGGGCCTGAACCCCCCCCCCCCGGCTCAGTTTAAAGTCTTCCGGACGAAGCTCGCTAGAGCATCTCCAAAGGACTTTTTCCCCATCCTCATGAGGTGTAACCCATGAGGTGTAACCCCTTGCCAGAAGTCCATTGGCAAGAAACCAAGTGCCGTGGTCGAGGAACCTGAAGCGTTCCTTCTGGCACCACACCCTAAGCCAGTCGTTCACCTCGGAGACCCTCCTGTCCCTTCCTGGCCCAAATCCCTGGACTGGTAAGATTGACGAGAAGGCCACTTGGGCCTTTAGCTCCCTGAGTTTCTTCCCCAGTGCCTCGAAGTCCCTGGTGATTCCAACCACACCTTGCCTGGCCACATCATTTGTGCCCACATGAATCACCAGGAGCAGCTGGTGACCCCCGGAGCAAACAAGACGCTCCACTCTGTCCTTCTCATGCCCGGCAGGCAGCAAACCTCCCTTGTCTCCAGGTTGGGGTGGCACAACTTGCTGGAGAAGAGCCTAATGCTGGGAACAATAGATGGCAAAAGAAGAAGGGGACGCAGAAAATGAGGTTGCTAGATGGAGTCACTGAAGCAGTTGGCGTGAGCTTAAGTGGACTCCAGGGGATGGTGGAGGACAGGAAGGCCTGGAGGAATGTTGTCTATGGTCGGACATGACTTCACGACTAACAACAACAACAAATAGTTTATCATTATATCTAAACCTGCCCAAAACCTTGTTCAGCAGCATCATTGGTGTGGCCCACATATGAGTTACGAAAAACCCACTCTTACAAACTGCTGTAGCTTCTGTATAGCCTTAAGTGCCTCATCCTGTCTAATCTTGAAGCTAAGCAGGATTGGGCCTGGATGAAATCTGGATGGGTAGCTTAAAATGTTGCGAGCTGCCCAGAGAGCTTTGGATACCAGCAGTATAGAAATGCAATAACAAAAATAAAGCCTATTAATTTAAAATTTTGAGTGAAAGAAAAACAGTTCAAAAGAAAACCTCTTGGGGTTTTGTGGCCTACTGGGAAAAATCATCAGGGGAGGGCTTCCAAAGCATCACCATAGAGAGAAAGGAAGTGAAAAGATAGAGGGAGGTCTCCAAAGCTGACCTTCCTGCCCCAGCACATTTGAAGAGGGAAATCTCTTGCATCCTTGTGCTGCCAAGAGGAGGAACTGGTGAGTTTTGAGAAGAGACTAGAGATATTTATGGTTTTTCCACTTTCTCAGCCCTGCAAATGTGGAGGGCCCCACTGTATTTGGAAGTTTTTCTGAAGTGTTTTATATGCATTTTATATGCATGAGCCAAATTACATACAAATTCAACTTAAAAGATGTTCTCAGGAACAAAACTTGTTCATAACTCAGGACTGCCTGTATTTTTAAAACAAATGCAGAGATTCTTCTTATGCTAACTTCTATGTCCACTACAATAACCTATAGGTATTCCTGTTATACTGAAGAATCACAGCATACATCAAGTTTTGCATATGGGAAAAATGGACATTAAAATGGCAAATTCAGCTCAGTCTAAGCAAGTTAGGTAGATTGCTGACAGGAAATCACAGTTATCATGTAAACACTGAGGGGATCTGAACCAGTGGTGGTAACTGACAAAGAGCTCTTGGATTTGTGGTGGATAGCTTAATGAAAACATTGACCCAGTGCGTGGCTCCTGTGAAAAATACAAATTCTATGTTGGGCATAATTAGGAATCAGAAATATGTTCCAATTGACTGCATTTAAGCAAATCTATTGTGTGACCAAACTTGGAATATTGTATAAAACAGATAGTGAAGAAGGTGCAGAAAGAGGCAGTTTTATGCTTCAAGTCATGGTCACAGATTTATTTATTTATATAAATTTATATATCACCCCAATAGCCCAGAGGGCTCTCTGGGTGGTTTACAAAGGATGGTGCTGTTACACTTGCATTCTACTTATTTGCCAGTGTGTGAACAGAATGCTTGGTCTGATCCAACACAGTTCTTCTGCTCTTATGCTTAGAATCTTGAAAGGCAGGACCAAGTTTTCTTTGCACTGACCCATTGGGCACAATATGTGCCCATACATTTTTCCTTTTGCACGTCTCCATAAGGAACATAATTAGAAGCTTCCTTAAAAACAAAGTGAGGATGAATATATCCCAGGGGCAGCAGCTAGATTGTTACAACTCCCTCATCTTGTGGCTATTTATTTATACCACAGCTTTTTGCAAGTGAAAGATGTCTGAGTATATTTCTGTTCTTGGCAGGGAAGTGGGCTACTGTTTTCACAAAAACAACAGGTGGAAGGGAGAGACAATGGAGCTGGGATCCATAAAAGCAAACCATGCAAGGAGGAATCTTTTTGGCCCTGTAGACCATGATCATCTGCAGCAAGACTTCCAGAATATCATGTACACCTGTATGGAAAGGGCCAAACAAAGATGGAACTTTGATTTCTTGGAAGAGATACCAACAGAAGGCTTTTTGCAGTGGGAGGAGCTTCAGAGCCATGAGGTCCCTACTTTCTATCACACTTGTATGATAGGGGATGTTTGCAAACCCCTACAGTCTATGAACCGAGTTGTAACCAAGGAGTCCAAACCTCACCATATTGGCAGTGTGTTGGAAAAACATATGCCTGCCCAAAAATTGACAGGGAGGAAGACTCTGGCAGGAAAGAAGCAAAGGCAGACATCTTTGACTGGTAAGTAACATTTGTACTTTGAACTTATGTTTGTCACTTATGTTTGTCGCTATTAGTAGTAAGTAACATTTGTACTTTGAACTTATGTTTGTCACTTATGTTTGTCGCTATTAGTAGTATCACAATGTAAAGAAAGCACAAAACAAATGCCATAACAGCCATATGTTAAATACAGGGGAATGTGGAAAACAGCAAAGCATAAGTCGTTCCTCCAGCTCTGGCAGGCATTCTACAATTGAATTGTGAGGCCTAGGAAGGAATGGTAAATTGATGAATTAGAATTTGTTCCTCATGCTCACTCACACACACCAAAAAGATTTGTGGATGGCGACACATGTGATTCCAAATAGAAATGTGATAGGCTAGGCCATTATCCTAAATCCATTCTGGGGTGAGTAATCCCCATATTCCCTTACATTAGGGAACTTAAAATTTACATTCATAGGGTTGCACTATACTGATTACAAAAAAACTGCACATAGGAAACTAGAAAGATCTCCAGAAAGAGTTTCTAGCTCAGTGTTTTGGCTAACATGCTAGTTTTGCCTGTGCAAGACTGTTTTTGTATAATGAGTGATTCAGCTGTTAGAGTCTCCACCTACAGTCTAGGCTGTGGTACATTACAAATGTGGATTTGCCAGTGGGAATTTTTGTTTAATATACAAAACTGTTGATTTGAATATCTAATTTTGGTTTTATCACAGAATTGTGATTTGAGTTCACAAAATGTTTTTCCTTGACTACTTTTCCACTACATAAACTCTTGATGGCATTGCGCTGTAGAAGAATAGCATACATAAAGATGCAGGAAACTATTTTTTCTTTTGCTTTCACAAACAATATCTCATTTTCTCTGCTGTAAAAAAACCAAACAGGAAAAAACTTGAAAAATGCTATAAAAACAAAAGTGAAACTGGAGGATTGCACTATCATCTGAAGTCCTAGTAAACAACCATGTGCAAAGAATATTAAGTGCTTTAAATGCATTGGGTAGAAAAGCTGCAAGGCTCAGAGCTCAAACTGACATCAGTCTTCTTGCAGATACAGTTTACTGAGTTCTATTTTAAATTTTAAATAGGGAATTTCAAAGATTCTATACTGCAGAAGCTTCCCAATTCATTCCAACATTTAGCATGATCTCTAGTTCACATTTATCAGGATTACAAAACCTGCTTGTAATCCCTCTTTTTAACCAGCCTCTCCAGTTAATCTGTTCTCACAACATGTATTGAATTTAATTCATAATTTGCTGTTGAATATCAGTGCATTAAAAACGATAACTTTCCAGAGGATTTGAATCCTTATTGTTAAAAATGGATGTAATTTAAACACCAGTGGTGATAGTGTTTAGGAAATACACAATTTGCAGGTTTTTGGAATCCCTCTAGCTCACATTCTGTACTATAATTTACATATCCTACCAATTATTCTTCTAGAAATTGTCACAAAGTCTTAAAGCAAATTTAAGATTGCTTTCTTTTACTTTAAAACAAACATGTCCAGGACACAAAATTATCCCAGACTATCCATAGGAATAGCTGTGTAGTATTTATATATCTCAAACAAAAGCCCTCACTTCAATGGTACAAATCAAGGTTCAGTACAGTTCATCTTGGTCTCATTTTTAAGCTTAGATTCTTAGCCAAAACATTCAGCAAAGCAAATTAAAATCTATTGAGGGAAAATTGTGTTATGATTTTTTAAAGTTACTAAGCCAAACCATTGCTATGCCCAGAAAAAGCCAATGGGCTAAGAATTATTAGGCAGATTTTCTTGTTTTCCATAGCCTCAAAGTTACTCGTACAGTGGTACCTCGGCTTGTGAACGCCTCCGTTCATGACCAAATTGGGTTGCAAACAGAAATTTCATAAAAAATTTTCTGCAGGTCACAAACTCTGCATCAGGTGACAATTGCGAGTGCGCCTGCCTTCCCTGCACAGGTGCAATCGCGGTCGTGCTGGGAGGTGGGGGGAGATGACCACGATCGCGCCCATCTTCCCTGCACAAGCACAATCACAGCCATTCCCCCTCCTGTCCCCCCAAGCACAATCGCTATCGCACACTTACCATTTGGACTTTCACTCCAAACAATAACTTCCCCCCACCTAGGTTAGTGTTCTCTACTGTACAGTTCTTTGTTACTTTGTTCTTTGTTTCAGTTTTTTGTGATTAAAAAAAATGGTTACAGAACGGATTTACCTTATTTACATTGAACCTTATGGGGAAATTTGACTTGGCTCATGACCAATTTTGGTCACAACCAAGTCCTGGAACAGATTAAGTTCATGAGCCAAAGTACCACTGTATTTGGGAGTTGGTTTGATTGTTGTTTGTAATTTATGGTAGTTCTGAATGGAGCATATGTGTAACTATGGCATTAATATTTATTCTAATGTATTTTAAGAAATATTGTCAAGAAAAAATCCTCTTGGCATTTAAAGAAGGCATTTCAGTTGCAAAAAATGATAGCATTTTATTCTCAGCTGTTCTGCAATGAAGTCCTGACCTGTGTATGGACAGTTCTTTGGGCATGCAAAGGATACTATGTACAAAGGGGCACAAGATCCAGTTTCTTAGCCTTTGCATAAGAAAATTAATCCAGTAGTAGATAAGCTCTTCCAAAGTCTGTGACTCCAACAAAATGGCTGAAGATTATTTCCAGTGAGAGAAGGGGAAGTGTGAGTCAGTACTTGGCATAGAGCCTTCTACCTTCCAATAACTAAAAAAGAATAAATTCTTATGGTAATGTGTGCAATTATGTAGGCTGTTTTCATATTTTATAGAATCCACATATAGGCTAGTTTTCTATATTGAGGGAATTTAGAGGTTTCTTTTTTTAATGGGCTGAGAAAGGCATTCAGAATTATGAGAGCTGCAATCCGCACTCTACTGTGATATTGTCCAGAATTCTGCCAACTGATGTTGCATAACATACAGAAACACTGCAGTCCACCTTGCACTCTAATTGCTCATTTGTTTGTTTGGTTTTATTACAGATTATTATCCACCAAAGAAGCAGATAAGAATGGATATGCGAACACCTGTAAAGAAATTGGCTTTCTAAAGTTGAGACCATACAATGGATTTGCCCCTAGCTCTTTTTAAAAAGAAGCTTCAAAGATTATACAACCTCTGGAAATGGTGTATTCAAATAGCAAATACTTGGGCATGTCACACTGAAGGACATATTTAGCAAAATGAAAATTAAGAGGTTTTGTAATAACAAACTTATTCAAAAGAAGTTAGAGCAAATACATAAAACTTGTTTAAAGGATGTTAAACAACTGTTGTCAGACAAGTAAGAAACAGGCAAATAGTAGCAGCAGTAGTACCTCAAAGGATATTGCTAATCAGAAAATGATCAGCATTACCAAAAATATTCAAAATACTATGTATGAAAAAATGATGAACACCATTATATGGTCTTGCATTGGTGTACATTTTTTATTTTTACTTATTTAATATATTAGTTTTCATATTGGTACAATAATCACTATTTTATAAGCTAACTGCACTTATCTGGGTTTTTTTAATTGGATATATGTACATAATACGTTAGTTGGTTTCAAAATTTGCCTGAATAGCAATAGGGTGTGGTTTAGTAAGTGTACTTTTCCTTTAACTATTAGGAGATGCTGCACCTGGTGACAATCTTTGTCTTTAAAAGGCACAAGAGTACCTGTAGGTTAGGAGTTGAAAGCCTTGGATACATCATGAAAGCTGTATCCCATGGGTTATTGGATGCTGATAATGCAGTACCTTTATTGCCCTTTATTTCAAAAGATTTCTCTCATTTATATTTTAAAGAATCTGTACTGCAATCTTGCACACAGTTCACTTGAGATTCCTTGGACTCAGCTGGATTCAAGCACATGTAAATGTGCAACAACAGAGCACTGGATGTTATAACTACCTGGAGGAATAGGTCCCCCAATCTCTTGACCAACAAGTAAGTATTAATATATATATGGCCTAGATCACACTTAAACTCTGGCTTGTTGTGAACAAATCAGTGTGCCAATTCACATGATTCTATATCACCTGCTGTTGTATTGGCTTAACAACCAAGAAATCCCTGATTTGCTTTTTCTGAGTAGTTCAACTTGATATCCAAACCAGGAGCAATGACTTGTTTTTCCAGAGGTGAAATCAAAGGTTAAACTATTGAGCCAGGCAGGAATGATCAAGCAGTCTGCACTAACATGCAAACAACAGCCCATGTATGTGAACCAGGCCATTGACATCATCAGATTGCACCATGAAAATAAGCAAGAATGCCACATTAAACCATTACATTTATTGTTCATGTTCTACTTTCATTGTTGTCTTTGCAGTACTGTGAAGTTACTGAATGATCATGATAGAACTATTTTATAGTGGATATAGTGGGAAGAACTGTTTGTGTGAATATTTTCTAAAATAATGGAAAAGTCTTTGCTACTGTAGCTCTTTTGGATTATTGTCTGAAAGCAGAATATTTTGTATTAAAATTGTTTTTGTTGAATTTCTTGGTGCTGCATATACTTTCTGCAATTGACTATCCTATATATGGAATGTTGTCTGTTCTGTCTTCCCTGAGAAAAGAAAAAAGGTAAACCAGAACTAGTAAGAGAGGAATAATTTTGAATAATGCTGAGACTATCATAATTCTGTACAGCTTTGCAGACTTCTCCAAGGTTGATTTGAAGTCAGCCCCAGAAGACTAGTTGCACAAAAGAGACTTCCATTTCATGAAACCCTTTAATTCAACTTTGCAACTGCCTCTGTAATCCTGATCAAATTTTCTAGAAGCAAGTTCTCTCATTTGTCCTGAAACATACCTCCAAATATGATTTCATACTTACTGAGAAGTAAGTAAATAGTTAAATATGTACTGTAAAATATTCATATAATTTCTAAGTACCTTCTGATTTTTGTCAGGAAGTGGTTGGAGAAAGGTCTCTACAAATTTGCATCTAGAAAAGCTATATCATATGCAGATATTTTCTTGGTGTCTGAAACATTTCATTGCAGGACCTTTCTCTAAAACTGACAGGAATTCCTTCATTAATATTAGCTAGGTGATGGATTGTGCCTGCTGTGAATTTCCTTCTCTGTTACCCCAGAGAAGGTTCTACAAGCTATTTTTTAAATTGCATTAGCTTCTGACTACGGACAAGTAAAGCACTAGTGTATTTAACAACTTATGTGGAAAGCCAAAGATGAACCATGTATCGTAGAATGTTATAAATGCATGAGAAAATTATAGGAATGCATTAGCTTAGGAGGATTGCCTTATTTACAACACATTTCCTATATTAAGTCCTGTTGAGTTTAATGATATCACTGCTTCTTATAAATTCTGTTAGGATGTCAAGCTTGAAAGTTCTAGAAACTTGATCAAGTTTTTAAAAGCTTCTTTACAAAAGGGCAGTTATCTTTTACTCTTTACTTTGGGCAGGTTAGAATGCAGTCCTCCCTGGCAGAGCCCTCAGCCCTGCCCCTCCTTTCCTTTAAGGATCTCAAGGTGGTTTACATAATCTTCCATCTTACCCTCACAACAACCCTGTGAGGTGTCTTACCCTGAGAGTCTTCGATTGACCCAAAATCATTTAGTGAGCAAACAAAATGATCTCTTTATTATCTCGGCCACTTATTACCTTATTATAATAATTGCCTATTTAGTTCTTTGTTACTTTTTGCTACACAGTGCTAAGAACCAGGCAAAGATCCCTTTTATCCCTCCCTGCTGCCTCTTTGGTATAGTGCCAGTAGGATGTCTGAGTTTTGTTATATGCATAAGTTATGCTAATCATACTGTCACATTGATTTTTGTTACTTTATATCCCTTGTCACTGACTGTTCAGCTAAACACGCCAGGAAATATGTTCCTACAAATAATGGTAAGCTATGCTAATAAACAATGGGTTAAGCTATTGAACTATAACAATCTGTGTTGACCGATATGCTGTTTGTTAGAACTCTTTCACACATTGAGATTCTTTTAAAGTTAGCATGGAGTTCTGCCCTGTTAGAAGTCAACACTAGAGAAATCCTAACATGAAATGTCAATTCAACCTTTCGAATCAAGGAAAAATCTCCACTTCCCAGTGATGTTTCATAGGAAGAACTTTCACCCACAAGATGAGGGTATGTTGTGACCAGCCCAGTGCTTGAAAATTTCACTGTTTTTTGAAATCCCAGACAGGCAACAAAATAGGAAGTTTATTGAACCTCTGTCAGGCTGTCACACATGGTGGGTGGGGTATTCTGACCTGATGTAATACAACATATTGTGCACAGTTAATCTTTAGTTATTGTCCACATGAGATTAATGACTTGGCCACAAACCAAATATTCCCAATCAACCATTTCACAGCCAAACAAAAACAGATCTGAAAAATATTTCAGCATAAAGTAGCAGCACTCTTCAGCGCCTTGTAAAGTTGTCATAAAGTGCTTTTGTAAATAATATCAGAGAGGAAATTGCTGTAAGAATAATCCAGAAAACAAGACTCAAAGTAACCTTAACATACTGAAGGTCCATCAGTCAGATCTGGGCAAACACATTAACAAAGAGTGAGCAATGATAGGTAATGGCTGCATTAACCCTGTTTATGTACGTTTGCCAACTATCAAGTATATCAACCACTCCATTAAGATCCCTGGCTGCAACTGGGCAGACTGTGTCACTGAGGTTGCATTGTAAATACTTGTTACACTGAAGCATTTATTATTTAAGTTGAAGTCTTTGCCAAACTATCCCATATGTTGAGAAGGTACTTGGCATTTCTATGTACGTTGTTTGCAGTAAACACCACACAGTCCTAGCTAAGTTTAAGCAGAAGAAAAGACCTACATGTAGTTATAGAATACGGTGTCTTTCTAGAATCTAAAAGCTGAGACTAGCAGCTCCTTAATGTTGCTAGTCATCCTAATGTTCTGAGAGGTCTTTATTTTGCTGAAATTGATGCTTGTTTGCTGAGATCTCATTCTGTTTAATACTGTAGAATTTAATAAGCTCACTCATGTTAGTTTGTTTTACCATTTATGAACTGTGGATGTTTGCAACAAAATCTGATATCTACATAATAGTGTTAAGTCTGATTTGCAGTCTGAAGAGTGTGTGTGTGTTGGCATTTAATACCAGTGCAGTTCTGCCTCATACATACTAGTAGCCAGGGCTAGGATCACATTTGAAGCCATCCCCACTTCTGCTAGCTGCCATCTAGCAAGACCCTGCACCATCAAGACTCTCCCAGCACACTAACAGTGGCAAACAGCACTGCTGAACAGCAGTAACCTAAACCAGGCACCATTTAATGTTACCCTTACATAGCATTACTCCAACAGGACAGCACAGTCACCCACTGGTTGATGAAAAATTGAACCAATCCCACAGTGGACTTCAAATTGGGTGGTTACTCCTGGGATGCTTAGGCTTCTGACAGATGCCTAAGGACAAGAAATACCGGTGCTGTTCCTTCTGACAGCAATCCATTAAGCAACGGGTTTTGCATAAGCAAAACAAGGTCTGCATACCAGCAATGCATGGTAGACGGCATTTAGTGTTTGCCTGCTTCAGATTTCTCCATTTGTCTCCCTTAAAGCAATGTGTGACTTAAACAGATGCCTACACATTTGGGCTGGGCTTGCTAGCCAACCATCTTTTCTAAGTCAGAAAGGCTTGGCTGTCTTACATCCAGCTCCACAGAGGTACTAAGTCCTAGGCATGGTTGAAATGAATTTCAGCAGAATTGCAGTAGTCACACTCATGAACTGTTTCTGCAATTATGTTTTTTTTTCTTTTTCAAATAAAACTGTGAAAAAGATGAGCGAATTTATTAGTAACTGCAAGAAAATAAGCTACCATAGCCAGATGCATTGCCTTTGCAAACTTAAGTGCAGCAGTCAGTGCTTCCTCAGTAAAAGCAACATGTGAGTTTAAATTTAGGTATAAATGTGATAACTTCATTTTGTTTCATGGTTTTAGCTTGAGAGGGGGCAAGGAATGGCCATTATTTGCTACTATTTAAAAAGCAAAACTTGAACAAGCTTAGAACAGTGAGCTTGGGTTTCACAAATAGCAATAACCTATGACATAGTAACTTTTGGCTCTACCCAAGTTTTTGGAATCTTTTCAAAATGTCCTGGCACATGTTTCAGACATCTGTATTGCAATGCCAAGTAGCTGTTTTGTCTGTAAGATGTGGAACAGAGATTAGAAAGCTGATTGGCTACATATTAATATGTTTCTCACAAAGCATAACACTCAGATACCTTCTGTTCCAATTACATGTCTGAAGTAGGGATGTTCAGAACACCCCCATCCCCAGTCCATTCATCATACACAATTTTTTGTATCTTTTAAAATACTTTCTCCAAAGCACGAATGTCAAGGTTTGCCTTGCGTTTTTGGGCAAGGTATTAGAGCGGGTGGTGGCGGGACAA